GCGAGATTCTAACCCAGAACAAAAATATTTCAGAATGTAGCTCCGACACGTCAAAATAAGAATATTCATCCAAGTAAAAATTATGGTAAAATCGTACTTCAGCCGACTTTACCTTAGAGTTTGGCCAGTCTGTAAATCAGTCTGATCAGGTTCCATACTATTGGCTGAATAATTTGTATTCATTATCGTAATATCAATACAATTGACTGACTGTTTCAAAAAATAGAGTTGGTCACGTGTTAAGTCAATATCCTCAGTAATTGGGAGAAAAAGATATTATAATATTCAACGCAACCGATTTATGAATGGTCATAACCAATGCCTACTACAAAGGTATGGAATAGGGCCCTGTAGTCTTCAGTCAGTTGATAAATGCTGATTTTACCTGGAATCCTTCTAATGTTATGATCATGTTTTGTACTTCGCCCAATCTAAATTCAACATCAAAATGCTATAATGAAATAAAACTGTATATTTCTTATGAACAATACTACGGTATCGTTAAATTTATTATAATCATAATAAGAAAGACGCATCCGCACACATATGAAGTACAAGAAAAATGAATCTGTTGTCCAGGGGTAAGCAATTTCAACTATCGTTTTATATTTAATGCGTAAAAACACTTTTGCACCTTTCAATATTTTCTCATTTTAAATGGATTGAACAAAACACGTATGAACATCGAAAAGCTTACCGTATTGTATAATATGGTTGTAAAAAACATTTTTATTTAATCAATGAAATATGTTTCAAATAAACTCAAACCGTCACTGTAATTAAGTCAAGATGCTGCATATCACCGTAATATATACATGTATAGGCTAATTGTTATAAGAATTGACCAAGGGTGACTTTTCATCACTTTTTCGTCTAGGCACTGAACGCCGATTATGCCCCTACGACTGAACGTCCCTGCGCGAATTCTTAGATTTTAGCCATGAAACTTGTCTAGTTGAACTTCTGCCAAGTTTGGGTTCAATTTATAGTCCCTGGGGTCCTTAAAATTTACCCCCCCTGAGGGTCATGGATATATCCTTACAAACTTAAAAAATTAGTTCTTTTTCTAAAACCACAAGAGCTAAAGCTTACATATTTGGCATGAAACATTGCCTAGTAGCCAAGTTTGTTCAAGTAATAGCACTGGACTCGTAATTGTCCCACCCTGTTTTACTATATGTATATAGTAAATACCTACAAAAGCTTGATCTTTGATATTTCGCGGGATACATTATTTTGTTGACCTGTACTAAGTTTTATAAAATCATACATTCAAGGCTAAATTTAATCCGTTTGGGTGTTCATGAATTTTCCTTAAATGTATATCAACCAGTGTCGTTCATTGAAACAACTGACTTTCCATTGTAACCATTGACTTCCATAGCAATCAATGTTTTTCATAGCAACCATTGACTTGCTATAGCAATTAATTATTTACATAGAATCCAGTGCAATAGCAATCTGTGGCTTCCATGGCCACCGTTGTCTTTCCATAGCAACCAATGACTACCCTAGCAACCAGTGACTTGGAAGCAACCATTGGCATTCGATAGAAACCAGTGACTTCCATATCAAACAACGACATTTCCTATGAGCCAGTGGCATCCATGGCAACCATTAACTTTCAGTAGCAACCAGTAATTTCCATAGCAACCAGGTAATCTTCCATAACAATCAGTGACTACCCATTGACCTTCCATAGCAACGAGTGACTTTCAAAACAATACTTGGCTTTCTAAACCAATCAATGGCTTCCATAGCAACCATTTACTTAGTAATATACTTACCATAGTAATCGGAGACCTTCCATAGCAACCGAGAACGTTTTCATAAGCAACCTTTAAATTTTTTTTCATATAACTAGTGATTTTTCCCTACAACCAGTGATTCCAAAAACAACCATTGATTTTCCCTATAGAAAACCAGTGATTTCCCATAGCAATTTTTGATTTCAAACAAATTATATACTTTTGAAATTTTTTTTTAAAAATAGGAAAAACAAAAGGTCATAAAGGGCCCCCCTTGTTTTTAAAGTGGTTTTTAATTTTTGTAAGAAAATTGGATGGTTTCCAAATTTGGGACAAGAACCCTTTTTTCATCCCGGGAAACACAGCAATCTTTGGTAAAACTTTTAAAAAAGATTTTAAATTAAATTTTGACCTTCACTAAAGTTGATTTTGACCTTGACTTAAAGGGGTAAAATTTAAATTTGAATTTTGCTCCCAAGTGGCCATTTTTTTGGGTTATTTAGGTTTTCAATCCTACTTGGGGAAAAATTTTTGTGTTGGGAATTTTGACCCTTGCCCTTATATAGCCCTTTGGGAACCACCCAAGGGTCAAAAAATTGAAATTTACTAAGATTGTCTTAACCCCCCTTGTTTTTTTAAATTTACGGTTTTGATAAATCCTTTGACAAAAAAAACCTTTAAAACCCAAAACCCCGTATTTGAAAAATTTAAAAATGCGCCCGGGTAAACCCTTTTTTGAAACTTTGAAATTTGCACCATTTTCTTTTACAAATAAAAAATTTGACAAAAGGGGTTTTGGCACTTTGGGGAAAGATAGAAATAAAAAAAATTTTTTTTTAAAGTTTTTTTTTGAAATACAATCCCCCAAAGTGCCGAACCCCTGTGGTAATTGGCCTTTACTGTCAAGGTCAAATTATTTTAATTTGCTCAAGTTATCATAGCAAAAAAGTTATCATAACTTTGTTACTTACTTACATATTTGGTTCATAATTGGACAAAGAACAAAATAAACATTACAAAAATGTTGAATTATTCTTATATGACCTTCACTTTTTTTTACCTTGAACGCCAATGTCAAATTATTATAATTTGCTTTAACTATCATTACTTTGTGACATACTTATGGATTTGATTCATTGTTGCACAAAAGAACAGTTCGATTGTGACCATGACTTTTTAATGACCCTGACCGTTTAATTGGATTCTCTTTTGTTCTAAAAAATTGTTTTCTTAATCTTCCATTAATGTCAAACCCCTCGCGGGGACGTAGACATGTCTAGGAATACACTCATACAATATTCTTTCTCCAAAGTGTCCAGCTTTAGAAATAATAATATTTCGAGCGTAACCAATGGTGGCTTTTGTTTTTTAAATTAACGTGGAAATGAAGTAAAGCCATGTTTTTAATTCATGTGTTACACGGTTCAAAGTTACCGACGGTAAACAAGGGTGGTGCAAGGTTTGAGCAAGACCTGACCCCACCCCCATCCCGAGTGTCTAAGAGATACTGAGAGAAGAATTCTGTGATGCTGTTTAGACAGACAAAACTGAGTTATACCAAGTCTGGGGATGAACACAAAGATATTCTCATCAAAGTGTTTATATTTATTTTAAAAATTATTTTATATAGATTTTGCCGAGCTTTGCTAGCATGATGAAAGAAAGGCCATATCACATGCTGAATCCCCAATTATTAATTTTTGTTTTTATTATTTTCAATCTTGCTAGTTAATATGTGATCATTAAACAATTGAGCCGCGTCACGACAAAACCAACATAGTGTGTTTACGACCAGCATGGATCCAGATCAGACTGCGCATCCGCGCAGTCTGATCAGGATCCATGCTGTTCGCTTACCAACCCTATTACAAGTAGAGATTCTGATAGCGAACAGCATAGATATGCAGGCTGGTCTGGATCCATGCTGGTCGCAAACGCATTACGTTGGTTTTGTCGTGACGCGGCTCATTTTACAATTGAGGTTTTTTAACAAACACACTTCCATGTGACTACTAGCATATGATGATGTGAGAGGACAAGACGAAATATATCAATATTTAACTATGAACACAGTCACAACATAACCCGCCTCTTGTAAGCATTGTTTTATTGACAACAGCATATTTATTGACTGCTGTAAATACCGCATACAACGTTTATATTTGACAATGCCATGGTACGTACGTTTAAAAATATATGAATATAAACATTTATACATTAAAGATCCTGTAACAAAATTTTTTATAGTTTTAAATCATAAATATGATGCTCAAATTAAGATTTATCAATATTGTAGGTACCAAAAAGCATTATTTATAAGGATATTACCGAATTAAACATTTCATGTAGATAAAGGGAAGTAATAAAAAAATATTTTTAAAAAAGATTAAGTCAAATTTTACAATAAGAAATGAATGCATATATTTTCTAATGATTACATATAATATGCACAAATATTTGCAGTACATATTTAACATATTCTTCGATGTTTGAAAATTGTTATATTTGTATAATAATGTACATATATATAATTTTCAAATTAGTGTGGGTTTACCAAAACTTTGAATTACAACATCATGAGGACTTTAATATATGTACCAATTGAAAGTACTAATTAAAAAGTACCTCTATATGTATGCTAGACTGTCTGTCATAATATAGCTTAATAGGCTACCTCCTACGGTATGCCCAGTTACAATGCCCAGTAACAATCACAAATAATAATAAAATAAAATTCATCCTCAATGTCTCGTTTATTATCTGGTTTGAGCCATACCTTTATGGCGTAGTATCCTTAACTCATGAGTAGATAATGAAAAACAACATTTTAAACAAAAAATTATGGCAATGATTGATTAAAAACAAAATACGACCCCACCCCCGCCTCAAAAAGAACAACAAGAAGAAGAAGAGGGACATGATGTCTCTGAATTGCTCACCAGAAACAACTGTTTTTCAGTGTTAGAAATAATTTTTCAAACGAACTCTCCGAAAGGCAAATCCAGCTCAATTTCAACTTGCTCACCTAGTTATATAGTTTCACGACACAGATTTTTTTCTTCATAATAAAAAGAAGCTTTCACAAAATTAATGGCACAAGTTCATTGTTACTGTACATCTGGCAAGTTGAGCATGTCAACTCACGCTTTCTTATTTCCTTTTCATACTGGAGCCTTTTTTATATAAATTACTACCTAAGAATGATACCGTTAAAGTTAAGTGATCATCCATTAAATAGTAAAGACGAATATGTTTTAGCTTTTTAGACCCTTAAAAGGGGCCAATTTAATTAATATGAGCAAATGTGATAAAAGACTACATAAGAATGCTACAAATCATCCATCAATTAGTACAGTAGAAGAATTATGTTTAACGGTTTTTCCAATTTTAGCTTTAGCGGCTCTTAAAAGGGGCCAATCAAATTAATATGAGCAAATTTATAAAAGACTACATAAGAATGCTACAGACAAGGTTTGGTGATCACATATCAATTAGTAGAAGAAAATTTTCTTTTTAGCTCTAAAGGCCGCTAAATGGCCCAATCAAATTAATATGAGCTCATTTGGTAAAATACTACCTAAGAATGCTGGCTGCAGACAAGGTTAAGTGATAATCCATCAATTAGTTCAGTAGAAGATTTTTAAGTTTTAGCTCTAGAGGCTCCTAAAAGGGGCCAATCAAATAAATTTGTGCAAATTGGATAAAAGACTACCTAGGAATGCTCGAGACAAAGTTTGTTGATCATCCATCAATTAGGTCAGCTTAAGTTTTTTCTTCTATTTTAGCTCTGTTGACCACTAAAAGGGGCCAACTAAAATGATGTTAGCAAATTTAAGTGTGAGTTCCAAAAGGATGCTACAGACCAGAGTTCCAAAAGGATGCTACAGACCAAATTTGAAGTAAATCTGCCCGGCAGTTTCAGAGTTGACGAATGACGACAGAGCATCCTCTTTTGATATTAATAGCTTACCGTGAACATTCAGTTCGTGAGCTCAAACACAATGTTAAAAAAATGTGCGCTATTTTTGGTTAAGAACATTATGAACATCAGAATATTGCGTGCCATTGTTGAATTTTAAATAAGGCTGGTACAATAAATGCTCCCCAGGATGTTTTATTTTATACTTTAGTAATAATATGAAAGCAGTTATTGTTTCCAAAATCTTATTTTGGATATGAGTTCTCTATGTCAGCCTCAATTTCAAGCAACACATCTTGCTGACGTTGTGCGCGTGCTTCGGTGGCCATTTTGTCTATAGGTGCTGACAGGAAGTTGTAAAGGGAGTAGATTTCCGTGTCACTCTCTTGTACGTAGTCACTACAGATTCGACCAAAAAACTTCCAACCCTGTACAATGTAGATTGTAAACATCTATATCGTGACTATACAGCTGATATTATTTAATAAGGAAAAATAAAATGTTTTTCAATCTTCAATGCTTATCATAGTTTGTTAATTTTCAACCTGCTCAAGGTGAAGATGATGAAAGGATTTTGAAACGTTGTGTCCGAGTGGTTAACGCGTCGGACTACTAGTTATCTAAGGATTGCTGACCGCGTGGGTTCAAACCCCGTCAGGGGCAAGCCGTTGTTTCCCCTTGAGCAAGAAACTTTACATTCATTGCTTAGTACTGGTTGGTTCCAGGAACGGATTTGAGAGTGTATCAATACGCTTATAGCATCCAACACAATCAAACTAAAATAAATTTGTATAAACTACTGATAGCCTTTTCTACCAGGAGACGACCAGACACATACGTGCAATCTGACAAGGATTTATATAACTTGCTTCCATCTTGATATCCGTAAAATTAAAAATGGTCAATTCCAAAAAATATGAAGCTTGGCAAGTTCATTTAAAAAAAAGAGAAGGTTCAGGGTTTATCCAAGAACATTTGATCTAGATCTATTTTTGTTCATTGCTCATTCTGAACTATTGTTGAAATATAATAAGTTATAATTAATTTTTCAAAATAATAAAGTATTTTTATATTAATCTATGTAAAAATTTGAATATGCACCTTTTCTGCTCGACCAATTGATTCTTGAAATCTTTTTGCTAATTTTGGATTTTGTATTTGAGCAAGGTAAACACTTCCTGAAGTGGATTCATCTCGTAAGGCTTTAACAGCTGCAGCCATGTTAGACCAGAATTCAATAATTCTAGTAAACTACCTATCAACATTGCCAAGTTGTGCATGCGCCTCTCTCAAACTTTCAACGTTTCCTAAGTTGGCTGGAAAGAAAAATATATGAATAAAAAATTCGTTTCTGGTACTTACGCTATTAAAGTATTTTCAAGTATACTTAGAACCGTTTTTATTTGAATCTATATATGAAAGCGTATCCTTTGCTTCCATAACAACATTTAAATGAACACGCATTCTTAGTATTAATGACACTAAAATAATGCCTTAACACACCTGTTTGCATTCCAAGCTTCTTTAAGGTTGCTAACCTTTCCAATGCCTCTTTACGCTGTTCGTGCATTCGACCAATAACATCCAGTTTTGCACCCATCACTCGCTCTTTTGCCTTCTGGTTATCCCTATATGCGTCCATTAATTTTTCAAACTACAAAATCGACAAACAATTTCTAAAAGGTGTCACGAAAAAGGAATAAATATATCACATAATTCTGTCATAATTTTAGAAAGAGCTATGGACCTTTGACAGTGACTTCATATTATGCTCTCAAATAAGTGGGTAAGCATTCATCACAATCCATTTAGTAGTTTTGAAGAGACCAACATTCACACAAAAACTTAACCATAGTATGACTATGTTGCCTAGGTGAGTACAATGGCCTTCTCTTTTACGCGATTACCCAGGTTAAATGTATATAGTCCTCAAATTAACTGTTGTAGGTCAGCGCACAGATACTGGGGGTATGTCAAAGACTATCACGACAACCCCCTTTCACTTATTTAAGAACAACAATACAAAACGCAATAAATTGAAAATCTTTGAAACACGCCAAATACCTGTGTACCAGCGTTAAATGAAAATATATGAATGTTACAGTGTAGGAGATTACCAAGCTGTAGATTTGCGCAGAAATTAAAGTGAAAGCATTACGACAAACGAAAATTCCATTACGTCCGTACTAGTAGTACTCGTTTTATGCTGTGACAAGACGGGTTTGCTTAAATCAATGTCATGTGCCAGGAATCCGACACCATGTGTCTTATTTATATATAGACAGTGTTGGCATGCTTGTGATGGTTTATCCTATAATGCCTTGGGCCTTAATTTATAATATCCCAGTTAAACGGTATATAAATATTTAATAAGTAAATGACACACAATAAAACACAAACATAGAATATAATACATTAAAGGCATCAGACTCGTTACCAAATCTATCCAAAGTAAGAAAGCAAACATGTGACCTCGCTTTACTACTTTTAAGGCACCAGAACTATGTCCACACAACACTATCAAATTCGTCTCAAAAGAAAAAAAACAAAATATAAAAAAAACTTTAAATATATATACATTTGAATTTCTTAAAAACGAATTTGTTTCTGAAATAAATTGAAAAATTTAGATGTTTTATGGGAATACAATGCAACAGCTCTTTCCCCGGTGCGTTTTTGTCCACATGCATTACAGCTCCCCTTTAAGTTAGGTGGAGACAACGTGTTAACGCAATTCAATTTTAGCCTGGTTGCACTTTAAACTTTTCTAATTACAATAAATCAGACAGTTGCATGACAACTGCACCGTCCATTATTTCTATGCGTATTAAAGAAAACCTTGTCTTTTCATTGAAGAAAAATGTAAATAAAAACATTTCACAACAAAGCAAGAAATTACAAAAATCGGTCCTGAAGTGAAAGCTGGTGGATGTTTTTATGTACTTGTATTCTTATTGACGACTCGTAAAATAAATCGTGTCATTCCGCAGTAAATCATGCGTCTTATTCAAAATCATATAAGACTGACATCCGAATAAGTCTAATGTATATGGAAAAAAACTTACATTTTTCTGACTTTTGTCCGAACGAAACAATCCTGTAAACATGTTCACACCGGCTGAGATGAAGGAAGTGACTGTTCCGGCAATACCCCCGCTAAGTGCCGCACCTGGAGACAACACATCATCAAATATTGTCTTCTTTGTACTCTTCCCATTCATCTTCTTATTGGTCATCTCTGAAAATGGTCATTAAACGTATTTTTAAAAAATTAAAAAAAAATCTTCCTCCTTAATTTTTATGATTTACAAATTTAAATATGTATTTAAAGTTACACATCAATTTCACTTAAAATGTATGTTTTAAATTGTACCGATCTTCTGAAAGTATTTCTCTGACATACCTCATTCATCCAGACGGCGCTATGTCACAGGGTAGTCAACCAACATGTTAGTTGTCATACAGGTCTATTAGTATCAATAAAATTATATATAAACGAGACGTATTTTTAAAAAAAGATACTCGGCCGAAGAAAAACTTGTTAACTTGCATGTCATATAGAAATGTGTGCATAACTTGCATAACAGTGACATAAGAATTTCTTGTAGGGTTATCAATCTTGAAAAATGGAACACTTTAAGATGTAATATATATTAGCAATTTTATGATGTGGGAGCTTGAAGTATATCCTATAAGAAATGAAGACGTTTAAGTGAAAATTAATAATTTATAGAAAAAAATCTTAGTTCAAGGGGGACATAATTACGGAAATAGACAAGCCAGCGTATTGAACTTCCTCACACATGATTGAGTGATAATAAGAAACATATACATAAAGTTTGAAGTAGAAACATTTAGAAATAAAGAAGTTATAAAAACATCTTTTTCATACAATTCTAAGGTCAAGGGGGGGAGGGGAATTCTGATAATTTTTGTGCTAGAGTTGGAAACCTTTTCACATATGATGATATGGTTGATGATCAGAAACATATACTTGAAGAACTGTTCAGAGTAATCACAAATATTGTTAAATTTGCCATATTTTAAGCCTAACGTTTGCAATAGAAACCAAAATTTTCAACATAGGAATAAAGAAAACATGTGCATAATCTCCATAATACCATCTACCCATATTTCAAGTTTCTTAAAAATATTTTCATTACTTTTTGCGTTATCACTGTATCCAGTTTATGTGTTAAATTAGCCATATTTTGAGTCTATTTGTTGCCATAGCAACAGCAGTTTTCAACATAGGAAGAAAATAATTTTTTTTTGTTTGGGTTTTACGTCACATCGACACAGTATAGGTCATATTGCGAAGTTCCAGCTTTACTGGTGGAGGAAGACCTCAGGTGCCCTTTCATGCATTATTTCAGGCACGAACGGGTACCCGAGTAGAACCACCGGCGTTCCGTAAGCTAGCCGGATAGCTTCCTCACATGAAAGAATTCAAAGTCCCTGTCAGGATTCGAACCCACAGAGGCGAGGGGCAAGTGGTTTGAAGTCAACGACCTTAACCTCTCGGCCACGGACGCCCTAAGAAAAGAAAAAGACGCGCATAATCTCCTGACTGCTATCTAACCATATATCAAGTTTCATAGAAATATTTTCAGTACTTTTTGCGATATCTCGGATCCAGTTTTGTGGACTGACAGACAGATAGATAAACTGACAGACGGACCGGTGAAACCGGTAGGGGACTTGTTCCATAAAAACATTATATCACTTGAACACATCAATTATCATAAAATATATTAGACACTTATTGAACATCATAAACTAAGGGTTCCTGATAACTTCTTTTATTACCCCTCACTTTTTTCGTAATGCCAATTTGCCATAGGCCTCTGGAAGTTATTTTTACTGTTACTGCAAGTGTACCACGTGACTAAGAATTTTGTACTGTTACAAAGGTAACAGTATTTTTTTTACAGTATAAAATCTGGTCACGTGGTCTATTTTCTAAATAAAATGAAATAAAATGGCCGCCATTTTTTTTCGCGATTCATTCTTATTTCCGACGTTAAACCTCGATAGGACATCATTTTCTTCTCAGGAGTAACTATGACACTCATAAAATTTAGTTGTTCGCACCCTGGTGTGCTTTTCGCGTATATCTTTTTGTTTAATAGTTAAAAAAGTGAACAAACGAAAGTAATTGCAATGTAAATAATTATGTGTCAAACTGGATTTAAACATGCAAGAAAGGATTATTTAACAATTATTATCTGTGACACGATACAAATATGTTGGACAGACATAGGATATCATCGTTATTATGCTAAGAATATTCTGGAAACAGAAGGATCAGATTTCACAAATCATAACCGTGTAAATGGGTTAGTGTTTTGTTTTCTAAAACCTAGCTTATTGTATGTTTATGATTTGTAGATATCATCACTTGCTTAAAGAATAAAAGAAAAAGAAAACTTCTCAAGTAGGCCTTAAGTACACTTAAAACTTAAAAGGTAAGGACAGTTTAGTTACACAGTTTTACAGTTTGTTACTTTTGGTTTATTTTTGTTACAGTAAGATTTAGTTGACACTTTCAGATCATCACATTATTTTTGTTCGGGGTAATAGAATAAATAACACATGGGTTTGTGAGTAACAGTAAAAATATCATCCCTCGTCAAAATACTGTTACCCTCGGCTACGCCTCGGGTAACAGTATTTTCATCGGGATGATATTTTTACTGTTACCCACAAACCCATGTGTTATTTATATAATATCATTCTCGTTATTTTAGAAAAGATTTAAAACTAACATCTTGTGTAAAGTAAACGCAGTAAGTTCTTACGTAAAATAAACTGTACATAAAATCTGAATGCAGTGTATTTTATGTTTTGTGGGAAGAAGTATTGTCAACCAGAACTTAATTATTGAACTACCCTGTACATTTTACTTTAGAACTATCCTTTTCATTTTGTTTCATAATGGCAAGAACAATCATTTACATTTTTATTTTAGAATGGCCAATGAGATTCCAAGATTTCATTTTGTAATTTTAAAATGACTAATTAAAACTTTCCTTATATTCAGTTCTTCCCTATTTTACAAGAGGTCAAAATGAAAAGCAGTTCGGGCGGAAAAATAGAGCAGAGAATATGATATAAATAAAAGATGTGTGTTACAAAGCTCCTTGGATGTTCTCTTTTTTACTTAACGTTACATTTCCAAAACTACATTGTGATAGATATTAGACAAAGTAAAAACTGTATTTCCATAGATTATTATTACATATTATTTTCTCATTTTTTTGTCTAAGCGTTTAAGCAGAGTCTTTCAAAAAGAAATACTATTCGAAAGACCCTGGTTTAAGTTATCATTATTCGACATATGCATTATATAAGGCATGGAAAGGCAGCTGGATTTTAATGGCAGCCTAAAGGTATACTGGTTCACAAGAAACAATGACGCTCAAATTATTTCGACATGTGATCGAGTTTCTCTGTTGACCCATGGCAGCATTCAAGTATTGCATTTTAATGTCATCACCATTTGGTAGTTGATTTTTTTTTAAAAGATACCTGCTTGTTTTCTGAATTTTTCTTTATCTGCTGTTAATGTCTTCAACTCTTCTTCATACTTCTTTTTTTCCTTGTCAAGTTCTTCTTGAGCTAGCTTGGCGGCTCTCGCTAGTTGCTTTTCTCGATCAATTTCCCACTTCAATCTTTCTTGCTCACTAACAACTTCTTTATTCCGACTGGTTACACTTGCCATATTCTTCTGTACTTCAGTCTGGATTTCAAGATATCTAAAAATAGCAAGTTTATCCGGTGATATAAGTAATAAATGAATATCATTCCATTGCTGCAATATATGTCATGGAATTTAGCGTGGCGATATTTCAGTTTTTACTTTAATTAAAATTAGGAATCTCCGAAATTAGTTACTCTTAGATAGTGTTTAAGCGTAAATATTGCCTGAGTTAATATATACCAAAATTTTTCCGGAATCAATCGCGAGAATCAACCCTACGTGGCCAAAGAATATACTATTTCAGGTAAAATAGTTATTGTAAAATATATTATTTAATCTTTCACGCAATGCACTTGTCAAGATCAGCTTCCAGTTGCCATGATACGTGCCAAACTGTCTCTGTAGTGTAAATTTGTCAGGATACATGTCCCATTGCCACGTGTCAATCATTAGCTTAAATTCGGATATTAAAAATGAGACATCATCTCAAGATTATTGTTAAGTTAATTGTACATTTACCGTTTCTGTGTCTGTTCAGTTTCGGTTTTCATTTCCTCCGCAATTTTAATAATCTGACCAAATATTTCTTTCACGACTTCTGGACTCTGAAATTTAAAAATAATGAAAAAGTAAAATATTTGCCACTTAAGTGCATTGAGAATACAGAATTTCTGATTAAATGAATTTTGAAATTCTCTAATAATTTGATTACCTCAAACATAAGAAATTAATATAATTTAGTTCTAAAGTAAGTCTTGCTTTCAAACAAGATCTAGATTTTCATTTACATGTACATTCCTACTGTCAAAAGAATATTTGTCCAATTTTCTATTTGGCTCCATTCAATCTCGAACGATAACTCTATATTTAGTTTGTTTATGACCCTAACATATTCATATGCCATTTGTCTTTAGGAGATGATTAAAGAATAAAACGGAAAAAATTACCTGGAGTTCAACAACAGCGTCGATGATCATAGGGATCAATGTTTTAACAATATGAGCTGCTGTTACTGTAAACTTCTTCATCAATCCGTTGGTCATCAGTTGCTGGGCTCGAGCTGAATGTGCTGTCAACCGGACCTGTAACAGTCATTGATAATTTATACTTGGAATGATAATTATGTCAATTTATTCGTCTAAAATGAGCAATTAAATCAAAAGAATGGACAAAAGACAACTGTCACAAGTATTTGGTTTGTGTACCGATGTAAAAAGAGGCATTATTTTAAATTTAGATTTTACCTGATAATATTCGAAGGTAAGACTTCATTTTTTTTTCATTTCCTAGCATACATTAATCCTAGAAAGTGTTTCAAATTTTTTTAGTTTATGTGAAGTTCCATTTAGGTAATGCGGGGTACATCTGCTTTGGCTTTCTTGATTAATTATTTAAACAATTACAGACTTCCGAGAAAGATTACTACGTATCTTGAATATCATACACAGTGTACCTCCTTAGCTTGCTCTGGATGATCAGCTAGATGTAGATAGGCAAGTTCCATGTAATGTGCTACTTCCCTCTGAGCTCTGTACATCTCTAAAGCAGCAATTGTATGAAGCAGCTCATGAGTCTCTGTAGGCAATTCCTGTAATTTGTGATGTGTTTAATACTCTTAATAATATGATAACTCATTTTAAAGACAGATTTAACGCAGCATAATTGTAAAACTTTATTTCATTTACTAATTGATACTGTTTAGCAAGGGCTCCCGTAGGCAAACGCCCACTTCAAATAACCATCGTGGGTTCTAATGCTGTGGTCAGGGACTTGGGATTCTTTCATGTTATGAAATTATTCAGCTAGCTTACATCTACTTATGTTCAGCTTGCGCGTAAAGAATTACACAAGAAACACCTGAGATTAGTCGGACATTATTTAAAATTCGATACAAAAAGCGTGTCTCAATGCTTCTCTTTAATGATGGGGTGATTATCCAAATAGATTTCAGGTAAATACTTCATAATATGTAGGCAAAAAGGTTTTCAAATATATAATATTAAACAATTTTAATCAACACAAAATCACTCTCCTGTCCGCCATTACAATATGTCATAGTGTCATTTGAAAGAACATGGTGCTGGCCGAACCGGAAAACATATTGAGCTGAACAGCAGGTACTTTAATCACTAGATCATAAATCATTTTTTAAGACAATAAAGTTAATATACCGGGAAAATACTGTATAAGTGTTTGTATTGCAACATAATGGCAGATGACCCCAGAGAGCCGTATATTATATATTTACCGCCGGTGAAGAACTAGTTGTATACATGCTTGATTTTCCCGAGCAGTCCTCGCCATCAGAAGAACACGAGCGATCATCGTCGGCACTATCATCGGAAATCGTACACGTTATGCAGCATAGTACGAGGAAAACTATGTAAATCTGCAAAACAATAGGCCGTTCAGATCTAAAAAAAATATTACCTTTTACCATCAAGTCTCAATAAAGTACTTTAAATAATGAGACTTGATGGTAAAAGGTAATTTTTTCAGATATGTAAAAATTGATCGAAAGCAGTTGTATTGTTGTAGCAGATGTCCCATTCGTGTTTAAATATTAAAATATTTTTGATAGAATGTTTACAGGGGCGTATCACATTGGGGGCAGGATCTGACCCCCAAGCGTCTGTCGTAGAAAGGCAAAATGGCATAGAAGCCGTGGTTTACACGTGTACACGGCATACACTTTATTTTAAAGATAACTGTGAGAGCTTCTAAGCAGCTGCAAAGTACGCAGTTGCCAACTAAAATGTTGTAAGACCGTCGTGTCGAAGCAGCGAACAAGAAAAGAAATTCTTGCGATCTCTCGGTGGTCGTGTTAATTGAACGACGTAGTGTGACAGGGGCTGACTGTGTTGCTCCTTTCGGCTTTAATAGATTTGCACAATCGGTGTTACTTTTACAGTCCGTCATTACAAGATACATACGTTGACCGATCGATTCAGAAAATCATCAAAGATAACTAATATGCCACCTTGAAAAACAAAATGAAACATCCAAAATAATAATTATATAGCATATGTATATTAAGTGCTTATTAGTCAGCATTCATCAAGCGGCTCAGTCGCTCAACCGGTTTAGAATTGATATTGACTTAACAAACACTAACCTATATACAGCGAGTAAATTATGTTTTGAATCTTTACTATACCGGGTAAGTCTTTAATGACAATTAAAGTTGGTGCCGATTTACTATAGGATGGTATTCACCTGTAAGCACTTTATTAGGCCGTTTCTCGCTCGATTAAATCTAAAAACGACCTTGCGAAATGAACGGAATTAGAACTTAGAGGTGGTTAACGTCAAATTTGAAATTATATATATATTTGTGTGTTTATTAAATTATACGCATAAAAACATAGCAGAATGTGATTTTGCACAAATGATATAAAATGTGATTTTTTTAAATGTATAAATCTATATATCTTCTGCAGATTATTGTTTGAATTTTAAAAATACTCCCATAATGTTTGTAAGGAATAAATGCCTTAAAAGCGAATAGCGCATTTTGTTCCGATGAACATGTAATGATTTATACGTTATACGTAGAAGATATTTAATAATTGCGAAAAAACTTGTTGAATTACGTGAACTATTTGTCAATGCGTGTAGCGTCTTTGGGTCTTACTAAATATTTCAGCAAAGTCGTGAAATCACGAAGTGTAATTTTTTTCACCGGATTTTATCGAAGAGACAAAAGCTTCAAGCATATCGAGAAAAGTTAAATTGCAATGCCTGAAAACTCCTCATCTTTGACAGTAAATTTTATTTAGATCTGCAAAACATTTTATCAATGCGAATGAAAATAAGTAGACGTAGCGGAAAACATATCATCAACTGTAAGCCCTGATACGCTTTCGTACACAAGTAATGTGTAAGACGTTTGTTGATTATAACGTCAAGTACTTTGTTTACACATTAGATAGATCTTCTTCTTACTTAAATAATTATTTATAAACTTAAACATATATATAGTATATCAAGTTTTAAACAAAGGTGCTAGTGGCATTGATTTGACCTAAAATGTGTTTAACCTTGTTATTTATGCACTAAAACATCAATATATTAAAAAAAAATATTTTTTATTTCACTGTTATATTATTTTAGACAAGGTATGCAACATTCAGGTACGAACATTATGGGTACGCCGGTTATCTGTGTTAAAATTTTTCACCGGGCGGTAATATCTTCGGATTTTTGCATGGAATCAATGCACAATATATTTTTCTATTACTATTTACTATTTACAGATCCCCAATTAACCGCTAGTTAATGTTATAAAGCCCGAAAGTAAGAAATCTCCCAGGTCCGAAAGATGAGACCGTCATGACATGTACATTGTAAGCTGGTATTTACGCTTGAAATACATCAACAAAGAGATCAAACGGGTCGAACACACATGCAAACAACTGGATTTTACATACATTTTAATTGTTTTATGCTCCACGAGTCGAACTTAGTCCTATAAGCCTGTATTTAAAGAAATATTCTACATGTAGACGATATTTTTAGAGGGTAATTCCTACCGAAAGTATTCTCCGGCTTCCGTTTCACATACATTGACATAGAGCGGAACAGGGAACCAAGCACGTGTTGCGGGAGAACACTTCCGTTTTAGGAATTACCTTATACATGTAGAATTTTTCTTAAAATACGGGCACATAGGACTTAGTGCCACTCGTGGAGGATAAAACCATTTAAATGTATGTAAAAACCAGTTGTTTGCATGTGTGTTCGACCCGTTTGATCTCATTGTTGATGTATTTCAAGCGTAAATACCAGGTTACAATGTACATGTCATGACGGTCTCATCTTTCGGACCTGGGTGGTTTCTTACTTTCGGGCTTTATAACATTAACTAGCGGTTAATTGGGGATCTGTAAATAGTAAATTGTAATAGAAAAATATATTGTGCATTGATTCCATGCAAAAATCCGACGATATTACCGCCCAGTGAAAAATTTTAACACAGATAACCGGCGTACCCATAATGTTCGTACCTGAATGTTGCATACCTTGTCTAATAACATAACAGTGAAAAAAATTTTTTTTTAATTTTTTTTGTTTAATATATTGATGTTTTAGTGCATAAATAACAAGGTTAAACACATTATAGGTCAAATCAATGCCACTATCACCTTTGGTTTTAAATAGAATACACGTCATTATCAAATAAATACGATATTTTAACACAAATTTTATCACATACCTTGCACATAACTGTAACTTCCATACCGCTGTTTAAACGAAACAGAAAGTAGAATAAATTAACTACGGGTTTTCAAATATTTAAAACATATCCTCATGAATGAGTTAGTGTATAACTCAACGTGGCATATCCGATATAGAATTTTACGTAGCTGAGTCGCAAAAAATACGGATCTCTCGGTGTCATTTTTGCTATTTTCGCACGCTTTAAAAGCGTAACATCTCCCTAGCATGTGTAAAATCCACTTATTCTACAGTATGTCAAAAATGATAACTCGTCGCCATAATTTAATAGGATTTAAGAGAGGACGAAATATTATACATAATAATTATGTGTGTACAACAGCCATTCCTCCAGATGAACCAGCTGATTCTGTTTGTGATGAATCTATTGTATCAAGACATTCTCTCTTATTAGGTGATGCCATGGTTGATATAGTACGACTTGTTTAACGATCTCGAAAATATGGTTTGATGAGCGAATCGAAAAGTTATTCCCTTTTGAATAGCTAAATCAAAAGTAAAATTGAATTTAGAAATTAATTAAACCAGATCGAAGGTAGATTATACGTCTGGTTTTAGAAATATGTAGTATACGGTAATTATTGTTTTGTCACTTACCAATCGAATTATAAATGTGCAAACTGTTTGTTGTAACGTAAAACTTACAGGATTATTTACTATCTAGCATTTTCCAAGCGGCTATAGCGTAAGTTTGCACGATGACAAGAATTAATAAAGTTCCATTGCTCCATCAAAAATCGTATTACAGTGGCTTGTAATACGTTTTAATAATACATTGTAATACATTTAAACGTTATAGCGTATAAAATATTGATACTTTCTTGTTGCAGTTTATTTACAGTAATGTTAAGTTGTAAGAATCTTATCTAGTACACCGGCTGGCGGTACAGACCAGAATATTTAGCATAACAGACGCATATTTACGTTAATATTCTAACTGAACATTCCTGTCCGTCGGTATCAGTGAATCTAATCTGTAGTGCTTAGTACTGTTTACGATATCATTTTCTTTTGAATCATTACAACTTTTATATTAAATCATCGAAATCCAAAATACGTTTCAAATTGGGACTTTAAATATTAAATAACATGCATTGTGACCTAAGATACAAATTATTTAAAAAGACGATAATATCATCTGATGAAGCTTAGAACTGTGGGTACCTTTGGCTATTAGTCCTGCACGATGAGATATTGTGATATTTTGTGTATGACAATATCTCCCCTCTGTGTAGAAGCGAGATTCTAACCCAGAACAAAAATATTTCAGAATGTAGCTCCGACACGTCAAAATAATTTGACTACCTTGCCTAAAATTCCAGAATATTCATCACAGTAAAAATTATGGTAAAAGTGTACTTCAACCGACTTTACCTTAGAGTTTGGCCAGCCTGTAAATCAGTCTGACCAGGTTCCATACTATTGGCTGAATAATTTGTATTCATTATCTTAATGTCAATACAATTGACTGACTGTTTCAAAAAATAGAGTTGGTCACGTGTTAAGTCAATATCCTCAGTAATTGGGAGAAAAAGATATTATAATATTCAACACAACCGATTTATGAATGGTCATAACCAATGCCTAATACAAAGGTATGGAATAGGGCCCTGTAGTCTTATGTCAGTTGCTAACTGGAACCCTTCTAATGTTATGACCATGTTTTGTACTTCGCCCAGTCTAAATTCAACATCAAAATGCTATAATGAAATAAAACTGTATATTTCTTATGAACAATTCTACGGTATCGATCAATTTATTATAATCATAATAAGAAAGACGCATCCGCCATATGAAGTACAAGAAAAATGAATCTGTTGTCCAGGGGTAAGCAATTTCAACTATCGTTTTATATTTAATGCGTAAAAACACTTTTGCACCTTTCACTATTTGCTCATTTTAACGGATGATCAAACAGTATACATCGAATACAGCTTACCGTATTGTATAATATGGTTGTAAACATTTATTTAATGCAATGAAATATGTTTCAACTAAACTAAACCGTCAGCTGTATACGTCAAGATGCTGCATATCACCGTATATATACATGTATAGCTAATTGTTATAAGATGACCAAGTGACTTTCATCACTTTTCGTCTAGGCTACGACGCCGATTATGCCTACGACTACGTCTGCGCGATCTTAGATATGAAACATTGTCTAGTTGACTTCTGCTAAGTTTGTTCAAATTATAGTCCTGGGGTCTTAATTTGCCCCACCCTGAGGGTCATGGATATATTCCTTAGAACTTAAAATTATTCTTTTCTAAAACCACAAGAGCTAAAGCTTAGATATTTGGCATGAAACATTGTCTAGTAGGCCTCTACCAAGTTTGTTCAAATAATAGCACTGGACCCGAAATTGTGCCCACCCTGGTGCAGTCATGAATTTTCCTATATGTATATAGTAAATACTTACAAAAACTTGATCTTAGATATTTGGCGGAAAACATTATATTGTTGACCTATACTAAGTTTTATAAACTTTAGAAAATTTAAATTGAATTTGACCTTCATCTCAAGTTGACTTTGACCTTGACATTAAAGGTCAAATTAATGAACTTTGCTACAAGTGACCATATCTTTGTTATTTATGGATTTAATTCCTACTTGTGCAAAATACATATTTTGTGCTTGAAATATGACATTGACCTATATATGACCTTGACCATCAAGGTCAGATATTGAATTTAGCTTAGATTGTCTTAACTTGGTTATTTATTTACGGATTTGATGAATGCTTGGACAAAAGAACTCTTATAACCAAACCCGTATGTTGAATAATTCAAATGTGACCGTGACCCTTATTTGACAACTGTTGAAATTGTTGCACCAGTATTCATTTACAAATAAGAATTTGACACAGGGGTTCGGCACGTTGGGAAGATAGTATACAAAAGTATTTTTTTAGTTTTTACTTTTGTATACAATCACCCCAAAGTGCCGAACCCCTGTGGTAATTGGCCTTTACTGTCAAGGTCAAATTATTTAAATTTGCTTAAGTTATCATAACAAAAAGTTATCATAACTTTGTTACTTACTTACATATTTGGTTCATAATTGGACAAAGAACATATACATTACAAAAATGTTGAATTATTCTTATATGACCTTCACTTTTTTTTACCTTGAACGCCAATGTCAAATTATTATAATTTGCTTTAACTATCATAACTTTGTGACATACTTATGGATTTGATTCATTGTTGCACAAAAGAACAGTTCGATTGTGACCATGACTTTTTAATGACCCTGACCTGTTAATTGGATTCTATTTTGTTCTAGAAAAATGTTTTCTTTACTTAATCTTCCATTAATGTCAAACACCTCGCGGGGACGTATCAATGTCTAGGAATACACTGATACAATATTCTTTCTCCAAAGTGTTCAGCTTTAAAAATAAGAATATTTCGAGCGTAACCAATGGTGGCTTTTGTTTTTTGAATTAACGTGGAAATGAAGTAAAGCCATGTTTTTAATTCATGTGTTACACTGTTCAAAGTTACCGACGGTAAACAAGGGTGGTGCAAGGTTTGAGCAAAACCTAAGAGATACTGAGAGGGGAATTCTGTGATGCTGTTTAGACAGACAAAACTGAGTTATACCAAGTCTGGGGAAGAACACAAAGCTATTCTCATCAAATTGTTTATATTTATTTTAAAAATTATTTTATATAGATTTTGCCGAGCTTTGCTAGCATGATGAAAGAAAGGCCATATCACATGCTGAATCCCCAATTATTAATTTTTGTTTTTATTATTTTCAATCTTGCTAGTTAATATGTGATCATTAAACATTTGAGCCGCGTCACGACAAAACCAACATAGTGTGTTTGCGACCAGCATGGATCCAGACCAGCCTGCGCATCCGCGCAGTCTGATCAGGATCCATGCTGTTCGCTTACCAACCCTATAACAAGTAGAGATTCTGATAGCGAACAGCATAGATACGCAGGCTGGTCTGGATCCATGCTGGTCGCAAACGCATTACGTTGGTTTTGTCGTGACGCGGCTCATTTTACAATTGAGGTTTTTAACAAACACATTTCCATGTGACTACTAGCATATGATGATGTGAGAGGGCAAGACGAAATATATCAATATTTAACTATGAACACAGTCACAACATAACGCCTCTTGTAAGCAATGTTTTATTGACGAACACATATTTATTGACTGCTGTAAATACCGCATACAACGTTTATATTTGACAATGCCATGGTACGTTTAAAAATATATGAATATAAACATTTATACATTAAAGATCCTGTAACACAAATTTTTATATTTTTAAATCATAAATATGATGCTCAAATTAAGATTTATCAATATTGTAGGTACTAAAAAGCATTATTTATAAAGATATTATCGAATTTAACATTTAATGTAGATAAAGGGAAGTAATAAAAAATTATTTTCTATAAAGTTTAAGTCAAATTTTACAATAAGAAATGAATGCATATATTTTTTAATGATTACATATTATAAGCACAAATATTTGCAGTACATATTTAACATATTCTTCGATGTTTGAAAATTGTTTTATTTGTATAATAATGTACATATATATAATTTCAATTAGTGTGGTTTACCACTTTGATCACAACATACAGGATCTTTAATATATGTACAATGAAAGTACTATTAAGTACCTCTATATGTATGCTAGACTGTCTGTCATAATATAGCTTAATAGGCTACCTCCTACGGTATGCCCAGTTACAATGCCCAGTAACAATCACAAATACAAGAATGATACCGTCAAAGTTTGGTGATCATCCATTAAATAGTAAAGACGAAGATGTTAAAAGATTTTTCTATTTTTAGCTTTAGCGACCCTTAAAAGGGGCCAATTTAATTAATATGAGCAAATGTGATAAAAGACTACCTAAGAATGCTACAGACAAAGTTTGGTGATCATCCATCAATTAGTACAGTAGAAGAATTATGTTTAACGGTTTTTCTAATTTTAGCTTTAGCGGCTCTTAAAAGGGGCCAATCAAATTAATATGAGCAAATTTGGTAAAAGACTACATAAGAATGCTACAGACAAGGTTTGGTGATCACATATCAATTAGTAGAAGAAGTTTTTCTTTTTAGCTCTAAAGGCCGCTAAAATGGCCCAATCAAATTAATATGAGCTCATTTGGTAAAAGACTACCTAAGAATGCTGCAGACAAAGTTAAGTGATAATCCATCAATTAGTTGAGTAGAAGATGTTTAAAGTTTTTCTCTAGAGGCTCAAATCGAATAAATATGTGCAAATTTGATAAAAGACTACCTAGGAATGCTAGAGACAAAGTTTGTTGATCATCCATCAATTAGGTCAGTAGAAGATACAACTCAAGTTTTTTCTTCTATTTTAAGCTATGTTGACCACTAAAAGGGGCCAACTAAAATGATGTTAGCAAATTTAAGTGTGAGTTCCAAAAGGATGCTAGGAACCAAATTTGAAGTAAATCTGCCCGGCAGTTTCAGAGAAGAAGATGAATGACCCATGACGACAGAGCATCCCCTTTTGATACTAACAGCCCACCGTGAACATTCGGTTCGTGAGCTAAAACACAATGTTTAAAAATAATGTGCGCTATTTTTTAATTAAGATCATTGTGAACAACAGAATATTGCGTGCCATTGTTGAATTTTAAATAAAGCTGGTACAAAAAATGCTCCCCAGGATGTTTTATTATATACTTTAGTAATAATATGAAAGCAGTAATTGTTTCCAAAATCTTATTTTGGATATGAGTTCTCTATGTCAGCCTCAATTTCAAGCAACACATCTTGCTGACGTTGTGCGCGTGCTTCGGCGGCCATTTTGTCTATAGGTGCTGACAGGAAGTTGTAAAGGGAGTAGATTTCCGTGTCACTCTCTTGTACGTAGTCACTACAGATTCGACCAAAAAACTTCCAACCCTGTACAAAGTAGATTGTAATCATCTATATCGTGACTATACAGCTGATATTATTTAATAAGGAAAAATAAAATGTTTTTCAATCTTCAATGCTTATCATAGTTTGTTAACTTTCAACCTGCTCAAGGTGAAGATGATGAAAGCATTTTGAGACGTTGTGGCCGAGTGGTTAACGCGTCGGACTACTAGTAATCTAAGGATTGCTGACCGCGTGGGTTCAAACCCCGTCAGGGGCAAGCCGTTGTTTCCTTGAGCAAGAAACTTTACATTCATTGCTTAGTACTGGTTGGTTCCAGGAACGGATTCACGAGTGTATCAATAAGCTTATAGCATCCAACACAATCAAACTTAAATTAATTTGTATAAACAACTGATAGCCTTTTCTACCAGGAGAGGGCCAGACACATCCGTGCAATCTGACAAGGATTTATATAATTTGCTTCCATCTTGATATCCGTAAAATTGAAAATGGACAATTCCAAAAAATATGAAGCTGGGCAAGTCCATTTAAAAAACAGAAGGTTAAGGGTTTATCCAAGAACATTTGATCTAGATCTATTTTTGTTCATTGCTAATTCTGAACCATTGTTGAAGTATAATTACTTATTATTATTTTTTTCCAAAAAATGAAGTTATTTTACATTAATTTATGTAAAGATTTGAATATGCACCTTTTCTGCTCGACCAATTGATTCTTGAAATCTTTTTGCAAATTTTTGATTTTCTATTTGAGCAAGATAAACACTTCCTGAAGTGGATTCATCTCGTAAGGCTTTAACAGCTGCAGCCATGTTAGACCAGAATTCAATAATTCTAGTAAACTGCCTATCAACATTGCCAAGTTGTGCATGCGCCTCTCTCAAACTTTCAACGTTTCCTAAATTGGCTGAAAAGAAAAAAAAATATGAATAAAAAATCCGTTTCTGGTACTCACTCTATAAAAGTATTTTCCAGTGTACTTAGAACCGTTTTTATTTGAATCTATATATGTAAGCGTATCCTTTGCTTCCAAAACAAACATTTTAAAAATGAACACGCTATTTCTTAGTATTAAATGACACTAGAAAATGCTTAACCACCTTTGTTTGCATTCCCAAGCTTCTTTAAGGTTGCCCCTAACCTTTCCCAATGCCTTCTTGCCTCTTTATTAACGCTGTTCGTTGCATTCGAGCCAATAAACATCCAGTTTTGGCACCCATGGACTCGCTCTTTGTGGCTTCCCTGGTTATCCCCCTATAATGGCGTCCATTAAATTTTTTTCAAACTACAAAATCGACAAACAATTTCCCCTAAAAGGGTTGTCACGAAAAAAGGAATAAATACACACATTTTTTCTGTCATAAATTCAAGAAAGAGCTATTGGACCTTTTTACAGTGGACTTCCTATTATTCCTCTCAAATAAGTGTGTACGGTTTTCAACACAATTCCATTTAGTAGTTTTGAAAGATATCAACATTCACACAAACACTTAACCACAGTATGACTATGTTGCCTAGGTGAGTACAATGGCCTTCTCTTTCATGCGATTATCCAGGTAAAATGTGCATAGTCCTCAACATGACGTCCAGAATAAACAAAATTGTCATACATATGATTTCATGCAAAAGATATAAAACTATTGAGTTGTAGGTCAGCACACAGACATTGGGGGTGTTGTCAAAGAAACTATCATGAACACCACCCATTTCACTTTATTAAAAGAAAAAACAACAAAATGTTGATTTAAAATTTGGGATAATCTTTGATAGCTGTTTAAACCAGAGTTTAAAATTGAAAAACATATGGGAAGATTTACAATAGCTGTAAAGATTTTGGGCAGATTGTTGAAATTTAAAAGGGGAAAACGCCATTAGGGACACAAAAAATTCCATTGTAACGCCCCGTCCCTAGTATACTCTTTTTTAATGCTGTGACAAAAAAGGGGTTTTTGTTTAAATAAATTTGTGTATTGGGGCCGGGAAATTCACCCCATGTGTTTTTTTTAATAAATAAAGTTTTTGGCATGTTTTTTGAGGGTTTTTTATCCTAAAAATGCCTTTGGGGCCTTAATTTTAATAAAAATCCAGTTAAACGGAAAATATAAATTTTTAATAATAAATGACAACACAATAAAACACAGACATATAATATAATACATTAAAGGCATCAGACTCGTTACCAAATCTATCCAAAGTAAGAAAGCAAACATGTGACCTGGCTTTACTATTTAAAAGGCACCAAGTAAAGTTTTCCACACAACACTATCCAAATCATCTCAAAGGAAAAAAAATACAAAATATAAAAAACTTTAAAAGACATATATTATATATTATATATATATATATATATATATATATATATATATATATATATATATATATATATATATATATATACATTTAAATTTCTTTAAAAACGAGTTTGTTTCTAAAATAAATTGAAAAATTCAGATGCTTTATGTCAATATTATGCAACAGCTCTTGTCCCGATGCGTTTTTGTTCACATGCTCCCCTTTAATTTAGGTGGAGACATCGTGTTAACGGAATTTAATTTTAGCCTGGTTGCACTTTAAACTTTCCTCATTACAATAAATCAGACAGTTGCATGGCAACTGCCCCGTCCATTATTTCTATACGTAGTTAAGAAAACATTGTCTTTTCATTTGAAGAAAAAGTAGATAAAAACATTTCGCAACAAAGCAAGAAATTACAAAAATCGGTCCTGACGTAAAAGCTGGTGGATGTTTTTATGTACTTGTATTCTTATTGACGACCTCGTAAAATAAAACGTGGCAATTCCCGAAGTAAAATCAAATGCGTCTTTATTCAAAATCCATATAAGACTGGACATCCCGAATAAGTCTAATGTATAATGGAAAAAAAACTTACATTTTTCCCTGATTTTTGTCCCCGAACGAAACATTCCTGTAAACATGTTCCCACACCGGCTGAGAATGAAGGAATGACTTTCCGGCAATACCCCCGCGTAAGCTGCTCCGCACCTTTGAGACAACACATCAAATCAAATATTGTCTTTTTGTACTCTTCCCCCATTCATTCTTGCTTATTGGCATTCTGAAAATGGTCATTAAAACGTATTTTTAAAAAAATTAAAAAAAAAATCTTCCTTCCTTAAATTTTTATGAATTACAATTTAAAATATGTAATTTAAAAAGTTACACATCAATTTCACTTAAAATGTATGTTTTAAATTGTACCGATCTTCTGAAAGTATTTCTCTGACGTTACCTCACACATTCTGAAGGCCCTTTGTTACAGGGTAGTAAACCAACATGATACTGAAGTTGTCATACAGGTCTTGTTAAATATTTCTATATTCGTCCAAGTATCAATAGAATTATATATAATAAATAGTGCAGAGAATATGTCATTTATTAAAGATGTGTGTTGCATAGCTTCTTGATTAAAGGTTTCGGGATTTTTTTTGTACTTAATGTTACATTTCAAAATACATTGTGATAGATATGAGACAAACTAAAACTGTATGTCCATGAATAATTATTACATATTATTTTACACGTTTGTTTTTCAAAGGGTTAAAGTTATAAGGTGAATTTCCAGATTGCCGAGATGGAAAGGCCCCTTACGAAGTAATGTGCATTATATAAGCCATGAAAAGGCAGCTGGATTTTATTGGCATAGTTAATCAATCAGCCTTATGGTATACTAGTTTACAAGAAACAATGACGGTCAAATAATTTGACATGAGATCGAGTTTCATTTCTCGCCCATGGCAGCATCCAAGTATTGCATTTTAATAATGGCATCACCAGATGTTCATATTTTCAAAAAAATACCTGCTTGTTTTCTGAAATTTTCTCTATCTTCTGTTAATATCTTCAACTCTTCTTCAAACTTCTTTTTTTCCATGTCAAGTTCTTCTTGAGCTAGTTTCGCGGCTCTCGCTAGTTGCTTTTCTCGTTCCATTTCTACCTTCAATCTTTCTTTCTCATTAACAACTTCTTTATTCCGACTGGTTACACTTGCCATATTCTTCTGTACTTCAGTCTGGATTTCAAGATATCTTAAAAAGCAAGTTTATTCGGTATTATGTGATATAAATGAAATAAATAAATATCATTTCATTGCGTCTACAATATGATACAATATATGTCATGGAATTCAGCATGAATTATTATCAACGGCATTCTGCTCACTGCTACAAGGCGATATCTCAGTTGACTCTGTTTTACCTAAGTCAAAATTAGGAATCTCAGAAATCAGTTACTCTTAGTTAGCGTTTCAAGCGTCAATATTGCATGGCTTAAAATAAACCAAAATTGTTCAGGAAATTCAAACTTTGGGGAAAAAAATTAAAAAAGAGTACAGATTCAAGATTCAAGTAATGATTTACACGTTATGTGTGATTAATGACTGATTTTGCAGCATTTTCATTACATTTCTAGTGCGTGCAGTAAGGTATACTTTTGGAGATTTTAAGCGAAAATCAAGTTGATATGGCGAGAATCGACTCTACGTTACCAGAGGATCTTATGTTGAGGTAAAATAGTTATTTTAAAAGATATTAATAAATCTTTCACGCAATCAGGGCGTCCACTCATTTTCCATAGCAAAAAATATAGGAATGCCATCAAAATAAAGAATCTTTCATGGTCTAAATATAGGAAAATATAGGAATAGAGATAACAAGCAAAAGTAGGTTTATCCTTCTCCTCCACTCACCTACACCATTGTTTTATTTTATTAAAAAAACAAACAATCACCTTAACATCATAAAGGAAAACTTTAACAAATAAAGTGAAAAATACTGAAAGTACAAAAAAGTAGAAGAACACTAGTGCCTAGTATGGAAGAGAATACATGAAGTACTTCTTGTACATAGCAATACAAAATTATTCAGGATTTCAAAATAGGAAGTGAAATTTCTTTAAAATGAAATGCAATACAATTTATTAAAGAAAATTTAAAATTTAAATATTTTGAATGAGTGCACTAAAATCATCTTCACATTCAGTTAGAAATTAAGCATTATTTATGTCTATAAATAAAAAATAATGATGCCCTACTTAGACATAAAAACAACTTTGACACTATTATGTTATTGATTATGGTTCAACAAAGCATTTCAAAGTTAAAGGTACAATGTATATTAATATTATTGATATACATAAAGCTAAACAAACAATCATGCAACATAACCTTCTGAGAAAGTAAATTAATTTTTCTCACTGTCTAATTTTTAATTTTAACATTGACTTGAGGAAAACATCAAAGAAGACTTCACTTTTAAACTGTTCAGGTATAAAACTTATTGTGATTTTTCTTCTTGCCTGTAGCTGATTCCTTCCCCTTGCCTTTGTCCTTAACAGAGCTAGAGGAGGCAATTTGTTTTCCTGAAGAGGAGAGAGAAGAACTGGTCATCAGTTTTTGTTTCTTACTTTCAATTGTCTTTTTTCTCTCTTTTCTACCTCCTTTTGCTAATCTCTTAAATAACCATTTCTTTTCTCGGTTTTTCATCTTGAGAAGTGGCTGTAGAGATTATCATTTTAGCAACACTTGCACATTGCATATTTTGTTCCTCCATGGCTTTCTTTAGCTTAGAATTTCCCTCTGGCAATGAAATTTTTGTGCTCAAGATTTTTCCTCTGAGACGATCTTCGTCTTTTGATAAATCTTTTTTTTTCTAACATTGAAACAGTTTTATCTCTTTCTTCTTCTTTCTGTTCTTCAAGTTTCTTTCTTTCCAGTCGTTCATTCTCCCTCTCTTTTTTCTTTCTCTTTCTTGATTCTCTATCTCCTTCTGCAATCTATCTAGATAATTCCTGTGTGCCATTTTAACATAACTTAAAACCCCATTGTTAAGTGGCACACTTTCAGGACTTTGCTTCACTGGGTCACTAAACTTAACACTGTATTTTACA